AGAAAATTAGGGTTGGAAGGGACCTCAGGAGGTCATCTAGTCCAACCTCCTGCTCTTATTCTTGGGCTGTATAACATGATTGCTTAGGAGGCAAAGATAGGCTTTCAAGATTGTGTATCCACTGACACAGGATGATTCTCCCTCCTCAGAATAGGATGAAGTAGGTTTTATAGAACATAGTGGGCACATCTACCGAAGACTAATGCGCTGTAAAGCATCAGCATCTACACATGCACAGGACTTACTGAGCAGTAAATTTGGCTAATACATGTTTTGCTAGTACCAAGAAATACAGGTACTAGATTAACCATGCGTTAGCTACTGCACAGTAGTGTCTGTGTAGATGCTGACTGGGAACAATTTGCGTGGTTAATCTAGTACCTGAAATTTTCTCCTGGTCAGTCTAGGCAACGAGGGATTGGGGGTGGAGGCTGTCTGCGGCTCCCATGCAGAGCTCAGGATTGCAGACAGGCTTAGCAGCACTGGTTTGAGGCAATATCCTGTGGCCAAACAGCAGCAATGCTCTGAGTGCTCTCCTCACTGAGAAAACAGGGTTGCTGTCTGTTCCCACAGTGCTGGGCCAGGAACAGAGAGCTTCTCCATCCCCTCAGCCCTGCCACTGCTTGTGCACCGCATGCCCTAGTCAACTGCTGCTCCCTACCCATGCCTTACTCCCCCCTTGTCCCACATCTCCCCCTGGTCCTAGTACTGCTTACCCCTCCAGTCCCAGCGTTACTTAACTCCTGGATCCCCCCAGTCGTGGGCAGGGAGTGGGAGCCAACTGAGGCATGTGCTGCATGGGGAGCAGCAGGGCTGAGGGGATGAGGAAGCTCTCTGTCCCTGGCCTGGTGCTGTGGGGACAGAGAGCTCCTCCATCCCTTCAGCAAGCAAAGCTATGGGAGAGCTCAGGGTGTTGGTGGTGTTTGGCTATGAGGCATTGCCCCAAGCCAGCACCTCCAAGCCAGACTGCGATCCCAAATTGCATGTGGCTGGGAGCTGTCCCCTGCTCCAGAACAGCTCTCTCGCATACCCTGGAGCCCAGACCTGACCCCTGTGCCCCCTGCCAGCCCAGGGCTGGCACTAGGAGAGTCTGGAGCTACCCCTGGCTGCTGCACGATGGGTAGAGGAGGGCAGAAGCAGCAGTGGATTCAACTGCTCCTGTTGGGAGCAAATTTGCTTCCCACATGGGCATATGTATAGATGTGTTCCTTGGTGCAGTTTACTGCACTTTATTTTAAGGCACAGTAACCTTAAGGTGCATTAACTGCACCTGTAGATGCACCCAGTGTGTTTTGTAGCCCAGATAGTTTCTGTGTTCTTGTGGGAGTGAAGGAGGATTTTGACTGATGACCTGTTTCAGAATCACAGCTCAAGGCTCAAGGCTTATACATTTTATATGTGTCTTTCCTATCCTCGCCATTCAGTTTGCAAGGACACTCAGCATAGATATGGAGAAAAGTGCATCATTCGCCCCTTAGAGAGAGAGAGAGAGAGAGAGAGAGAGAGAGAGAGAAACAACCTCACCCCACAAAACAACAAAGGTTGAAGCAAAACTTTTACATATTGTGTTTTGTCCCATTTTATTGTTATGTTCCAACTGAAAGTATTTTATCGCTTCAAATGATGTATTTCGGAAATGCAGCAAGCAGCCCATCAGTCCCTGCTGATAGTTCTAAAATGAACAGATAAGCAGTTTGTTCATTGCAGTTTTATATGTTTACAATGAGACGGGTGTGGACTGAAGGGAGGGGAGATGTTTCTGATTTCATTTGCCAAAATATGACTTTTCCTGGACTTGTGTAGCCAGCCCTTACGCTAGACACCTTGGTCTAGGAAAGGACAAATAATAGTCATTTAGGAGGTCAACAAATTGGGAAGGGACATACCTTTTTTTTTTGGGGGGGGGGGGGTGTTACAATGATGTAATATCTACAAAATGTTTAACAAAGCCAGTACTTCTTATTACTTTCCTCAGTAGTACTATTGCCCTCAGCTGGACTTACTGTGTAAATAGTGAGTACTTATTTAATTGGACAAATGAATGGGCACACTGATATCAGTGCATCAGAGTAGATTTGATTAATCAAGTCTGCTGGAGCATGGTAATTATCACACTCCAGCAGACTCCACCATCACATATATTAGTATCCCTGCACTGAAAAACGGCAGTGGGGGCACTTCAACTAAAGGTCATTTAATGAGCTTCAGTTAAGGTGCCCCCACTGCCATTTTTCAGCATAGGAATGCTGATACATGTGATGGTGGAGTCTGCTGGAGTGTGGTAATTACCATGCTCCAAGAGCTGCTTTAATTAAAGCACCCTCCCCCTTCCAGTCCTGAAACACCATGGTGAGGTACCCGGAAAATGCACATTAGCTTGTTTTAATGTGCATTAACTAAATAGCATGTTTTTAAATGACACTTTAATGTGCATTAAAATAAACTAATGCACATTAAAGCACATGTGTAGACATGCCCAGTCTAATTTATCCAGAGGGAAATGCTACAATATTCTCCTTACTGGTCTTGCTAGATGCTACATTCAAAACTTTTTTTTTTCCAAGACCTTAATTCTAATTGTAGTTCAGACAGTTGCTAGTCTGGGTGCTTATTTCTGGAAATGCACCTATTTGGATGATACATTTTCAGGACTAGGCCTGAGCATTGGCTTGACTCTGCTCCCATTGAAACCAATGGGCATTCTACCATTGGGTTACCTAGCTGGGCCAGTGCTGTGCACTTTAGGAAATGTCACCCTTGGTTCTCAATCAAACACATCCAACCATCATGCTTAATAAAAAATAAATAAAAATCATTACTGTGAAAATTTTTTTTTGTAAAAATCCTACCTGCTTCTGATTAGGTGACTAGGCAGGACCAAGCAACTAAGAATTCATGGTCCTACTTAGAAAGATACTGTTGTGTATTTCAATAAAAATTGGTTATCAGTTAAAAAAAAAAATAAAAAAACCCAGAATGCCTCTCAATGTAATTATAAATACTGTATTTACTTGCTTACGACACACATCCTTTCCCCAAACACTGGGATGCGCATCTTAAGTGGGAAAGTTCATTTTTCCTCTCTGGGATTGAAACATATATTCACTGCTATGTAATTGTCCTAGGAAGGAAGGGCAGAGTAGACCCTTCAGAGTCACAGTTCTGAACAGTAGAATCATAGTTCTGAAACACTGGCAAGAGCCTGAGTGATGCTGAGGAGTGGCATGCCCCCCTCCTGCCTGGGGCCAGCATCAACCATGCTGAGCCCATGCTGTGCTAGTTCAGGTTCTGAAAAAATCGTCTTTTCTTCCCCTTCATTTTTCCTTCCCAAAACAAGGTGTGTGTGTGTTATTTGGGGGCATGTGGTATGCAAATAAATACAGCTAATCATTCTGTTTACAGCATAATTGTTTTTGCTGATAATCAAAAGCATGGGCTTCTATATCGCCATGTTGAGGAAAATGAGTGTAAAAGGACAAGATATAACACCACCCCCAAGGGAGTGCACAAAATGCCACCAAATTGTTCTTTGTTCTTCACTTTTTACAAAAGTCTTAAATACAGGTAAATATGTAAACACAAAGATTTTGATCCTGTCCTGTTGCAGTCAATAGAACATTTGCCATTGACTTCAATGGTGCAGGATCAAGCCCTAAGCTAGTACAGTACATACAAGCCTAAGTCACTCAGGGAGCCATGGATTTAGTCAAATGAAAGACCAAAAGTGCCTGCTTTAAAACCAGCTGCTGGAAGAGTCAGACTCAGTGCTGAAAACCTCCCTGCACATGTTGGAGTTCTCTCGATGGAGAGGGAGTTCAGAACCTGCCAGAAATTGTACTTTTCCTTTCCGGGAAGTGTACCGCTTGCCAGATGGTAGGCTTTCATATTTAGACACATATTGCCTGCAAAGACACAATATTGTTACTAGGTTATAAGCAAAAGGATATCAACTCTGTGGCCTACATGTGTGTAAAATTTCCTTATCTAGTCTCACATACCAGACTGCTTGGTTTCAGTGGGTATGTGTACACATTCATTAATGATCCATAGTTACTGTGCATTAAGTTTAGTACTTGCATAATCAAGTACTAAATCAATGCGCAGTAACTGGCACTACTGCGAAGTAGCACCAGCATGTGGGTTTTTACAGACGGTAACTGCACAGTAGACTAATACTACTGCACAATAGCATATTAGCATGGGTTTTGTCCAGCACTCTACTGCACAGTGTTGTTAGGGTACTGCACAGTTAGCATCTTGTGTAGTTGCACCCAGTGTGACTTCGATAGAAAGCCAGCATAGATAATGATATATCTAGCAGTCTGATTAATGTTTTTTCAGAGAAACTGAAATTCTTGGAAAGCTCCAAATTCTTACATTTGCTTTTCTGTTCAGCCTATCAATTGGCACTTTACACTTCTGGACAGAAAGAACAGAAATCTCTCTCACAGGGACTGATAATGCTTTCCCAAGTCTTAGCAAATCATGATCAGGATGGAAAAACAAATCGAGGCCTGACAGATGGCAATACAGGGCTACCCCTTAGTAAGATATCTTTTCTTTTATTCTGTTATATTTCAGAGGGAAAATTGACCGTAGTTAGAACAAAATGTTTTCAAAGTACATAGTTTCATAGTTTCTAGGGTCGGAAGGGACCTGAGCAGATCATCGAGTCCGACCCCTGACATGGCAGGAAGGAGTACTGGGGTCAAACGACCCTAGAAAGGTGTATATCTAGCCTCCTGTTAAAGACCCCCAGGGTAGCAGCCAGCAGCACTTCTCTTGGAAGTTGATTCCAGATCCTAGCCGCCCTGACCGTGAAGTAGCACCTCCTGATATCTAGCCTAAATCTACCCTCTGCCAGCTTGTGACCGTTATTCCTGGTCACTCCTGGTAGTGCTTGGGGGAACAGGGACTTCCCCAGCGCCTGCTGGT